GGTGAAATTAGGGCATTTCCAGATAAACAGAAGTTTAGGGAATTTGCAAAAACCAAACCAAAATTACAAGAAATACTAAAGGGTGTCCTCTGGTTAGAAAATCAATAACATCAGATAACAACCCAAGACTAGAACACAGGACTTTCCCAGATAGGGAAGTCACAACATAAATCAAAGCTAAAACACCGAAAATAAGGAAACAGAGACATCACTATGTAAAAGATGACAACATTAAAACAAAAAAGGACTAAAAAATGTAGACATAGATTTTTCATCTGGAGAGGAAGTCAAGGCAATATAAAGAAACGAATTAAACAACAAAAAAAGAGAAAGAAAGAAAAAATGCCTAATCGCTAACTAGAAGGCAACATCACAATTTACAACACTTTTGACATGGATGTAATCCACCAGCTCAAATACACTTTTGGAATGATACGAATGGAGAAAGTATTACAGTGTTGGACCCCTGGCCTTAGTAACCAATATGGCAAAAGGTCTTTGTGAATCCTGAAATCCGAGAATACCATAATGCCTACTTTTCCATGTAACTGCTACTGTAATCACCAGGAGAGAGTAACACCCCGGACTGAAAGCAGCTAAGCTGTTTCTCCAGTTAGTGACAGGCGCCACACAAACCACACGGCTCTAGAGATTTGAGTTTGTCCCTAAGCAAACTATACTTGAGGTATCTTGCTATTTGTCCAAAAGTTAGATTCAAACATGCCAAGGATCTATTATACTCTTTGAATTAATGAGCTCCACCCTTAGGTATAAAATCTCCATGCTCTAATTGCCAGCGTGTCTGAAAGGTAAACACCACCCTGTAATTTGGAGTAGAGACTGAGGTATATTGGTGGAACAGAGGAGCTTTCAGGAGCCCAGTCATCAATTACTGTGCTCCTACAGTATTTAGGATGCCCTCTCTCTTCTGAGGCATCAATTTCATAAAGAATCTTGAGACATAAACAAGAAGGAAGAAGGGTTCATAAATACGTCTAGGTATGTCAGTATCAGAACTTAAAATTTCTCATAATCATGATACAAGCTACAGAGCAATGAAGAATCCACACAGATGCTTCACTAATAAGTAACAGCCTTCACCCTGTGGTCTGTAATGTAAATGCAAATACTATAGCTCAGATTAATGTAACCACTGAAGAACCACCATGTCACAGAGAAGCAGTAAAGTCATAGCCAGAGAGCAAACTCCTTACAAAGCCACACCTCAGATTCTGACAACAATATGGTAATGCCCTGTGTTGTCTAGCAACTCTGCATTTCAATACATGTTTCTCAGCAAATATATAGACAATGTTGTGTCTTAAAATAAAGGTTGGGCTTAGCCATTTACATAACACCATTTGCCTTTATGCAAACACCTTGCAACCTTTGTTCTTACTTGTTGATATGATTTTTGTCTTCCTTGAAACATGTAAACTCTTGTGCTTTCAGATATAGTTATGAAAAAAAGAAAATTGCCTTTGGGAAAAACAAGTAGCCTTATACACATTTTTTCAAAAGTTGCAAAACCCACTATTGAATTTAGAGAATTAAAAAAAATGTATTGTAGGTAATCAGGCAGATTATTCTTAATAAGGAAGAATTAACTTATATTTAAATATTATTATTGGAAGCAGGATTTAAATATAAGTTAATCCTTCTAATTTCCTATTATTATTTGCTATTATTACACTCTGAAAGCAATGAAGAATAGCCATTTCTATCACTACAATCTTTAATTTGTTCACTAATTGAAGATACAGTCCATTTAATTCATATCAGATCAGTTTATGATGACATCTTATCCATAGGGTAAAAGAGTCAGTGCTTCTCTATCCATTAAATTGCCCGTGTGTGTGTGTGTGTGTGTGTATGTGTGTGTGTGTGTGGAGAGAGAGAGAAGGAAAATGAATGAACATAAACAAACTATTTATACCGAGACCAATCATTTAGCTGATATGGCAGCTGGAATCTATCACTGGAGCCTGCATGAGGCATGTGGCCAAAAGAAGAGTTAGACGACATTTGGTTGGATGGCTCAAATAAATAACTATATTTAGGCTAGTTTTAGTCATGTTTTCTCACTGCCAGAGCAGAAGTAAAAAAATTGCAAAGGGGGAAATTTAGAATGAACCTTGTGGAGTTCAACTGGAATTGAATGTGTCAGTGTGAATTCATGGTTTTCAACAGACAGATATAGAAATGAATATAGATGCAAAAGCATGTGTGCGTTGAAGTATGCATGTGTGTATATTACCTTCCTGGATCTAGGCCCTGAGAGGATCTACTTGCACCCAAGCAGCACAGAACACACAAAGTGTCAAGATATTGGCTTCTAAATACCATACTGCACTAAGCAGAACCAGGACTCCTCAAAAAAATGGTTGCATCCAGGCCATGGCCGAAAGTACAAAATGAGCCTGGAACATCTTGTTATTCCAGAAAGTAAAGATATACTTAAAGAATGATGGGGACATTTCAGAAGCCAAATGGAAGAGGGTCCCCCTAGCCAAATCTGAGACAATTTAATCATCAAAACAAATAATGATAGTAGCACACTGTATCTCATTGATTAAAACAGAAATCCATGAGTCCACATTGGTATAAAAAAGTGAATAAATAAATGAGAGACAGGAAAGCTTTCCCTTACAGTAGAATGTTAATTTATAAATGTAGGAGGAATGGTGGAATTAGAAATCATCGTTTGGTAATCATTAAAGTAATAATTCAGGCAAGAAACAAAAATGGATGCTAAAACTAGTGGGTGAA